TCTGAGATGGATCCAAGTAAGATTGGGGGGCAGGAACTTCCCACTTTCTGTTGTAATGAAATTCAAACGTGTCTCTGCCCGTGTTGCCGGCCCCGGGCATTTGGGAGCTACCAGGACTTGGGGAGTAGGAAATTCACATAACACAGGTAAGAGAGGTCTGGTCTACCTCAGACTCCACGTGAAAGGTAGAGCCCGAGTCCCGGCTGGAGAGGGGCACCCAGAAGTCTCTGGCAGGGGCTGGGAACTATGACTGAGCAAAACCTGAGCACCACTCAGCTTGTACAGGAACACCTCTCCCTTCTGCTCACACTCTGCCCACCCAGCCTGGTCTGGCCCCACCACTGGGATGATATGGGAGATGGAGGATAGAAGGCTAAAGAGGTGAGGTCCAGCGGAAAGAGCCCCAGGTGTGTCCGGCTGGAGGCATTACCTACACACGAGGCTAAGTTAGTGCCACCAAAGAACCGACCTGGGACATCTAGGTTGAAGGTGACCTTCTGGCCCCCGGCCTCGCAGCTGTACTCCCCGCTGTCCCCCTTCGCCGCCTGCTGCAGCACCAGCCGCCGGGTGCAGCCCGTGGCCTCCACGCGCACTTTCGAGCTCCCGCTCAGCTTCTTGCCATCCTTGTACCACGTCACCTGCGTCTGAGCCTGGGCCACCTCGCAGCTCAGCGTGGCACTGGCCCCGGCCGTGGCCTTCACCTCGCTGTGTGCCGACTGCTCCTTGGCAAACACCACCGTGGGCTCTGGGGACAGGGAGGGACGCACAGGGTCAAAGATATTTTCTCAACCAGGAGGACAGCACTGGGGACGGAAGGACTCAGCTGGGAGGTGGCAGGACGGGAAAATTCTCAAGGCTCTGTGTGACCCGCAGAAGCCCCAGCACCTTCTCAGCACAAGTAGCTCATTCATCTGCACATGGACCACTGCCCAGGGAGCGGTCCCTGCTGGAGACACCGTGAAGGACTTCTCCGGAGCACACACACACCCTCGAGCACAGGGACTGCAGACCATGAGGTGTGCACACACCCTCCCCAGGACACCAAGTCTTTCCCGGTTGTGCAGGGAGCATTCCCACCCAGCGAGGGACAGTTCCTGGGCTCCACCTCCCACCCGCACTCCCTGTGTCACCTGCTGGCCACCTAGGGCACTGAGCTGTGCCTCCTGAGCCTGTCTCTCCCATGGTTTGGATGACTCCCAAAGTGGTGGACCTTTGCTATGCTTTCGGTCTTTACTGTTTGCTCTTCTGCGGTGTGTCTGTTCATGGGCATTTTGGACACCATAATATTTCTCCCCACTCCCACCAAGTCCAATAATTTATCTTTTGCGTTAGGCATATTATCGGAATTCCACTTCCGTTTTTTCACACTTTTGCATGTTTCACTTTATTTCCTGCTTTCCTGCTGACAAAAGCGGTGACTGTGAGCCCCGTTGCCTGGTCCCTGATCTCACAGGCACAGCTTTCAAGTGTCACTTAGTGTGGTTAGCTGGATTTCCTTCAGTGTCATTTATCAGAAGAAGGATGAACCGTTTTATTTCTAATTGGTTCAGAATCTGCGGCATGGAGAGATGTTGATAAACTGTTTCTTCCACATTTCTGACATTAAATGTTATCAAACTCAACTCTGCATTGATGAGGCGATCCCTTCACATTTTAGTTTCAGTCTGCTCACGTCATGAGGTATGTTGATTTGCTGAACTCTGTAGTGCTCACACACCCGGGCCGTGTCTTTCACTATAGTGCACCGTCCTCTTAATACACTGCCGATTCATTTTGATTCTACTAAACTTCAGATTTTGGGCTTGGGCTCCACAATGCATTGGCCCACTATTTCAACTCTCCCTATCAGATGGTGGTGATAGGTGCCATGCTGTTGCCGCATAATAAACCAGAGACTGTGTGTCCTTCTCTAGCTCTAGAAGGATCTCCATGCACATGCAATACTTTCCTTACGGAATAGTTCATACAATTTTCCAGTGGAGCCAAGGGGGTGTCTCTTCACATATAAGATCTTTTTTTTCCTTCTTTTTCCCACTGTGGTTCCATTTATTGAAACGGTTGTAGGACTACTTGAGCTGTCAAGATCGTCTGCCACTGTTCACATAGTTTTCTAATAATCTGGTCAATTTCTGAAACCTTTTCATATTTACTCCTACAAAATAATTTGTCATATTCTCCTAAACTAGCAATTACAAGTGTTCGGTGGATTTTTTTTTTTTTGTATCGATACACACCCACAAGCTGTTGTACACACTTACAACACCAAACTGTTAGTTAGAGGCACCTGGATGTCGAATTGAGGTTAAAACTCTCCTAACTAAATGAAAATACAGTTAGTTCACAGACATCTCTGTGAACACCATGGACAGGGACAAATACACATGTGTCCTTAGGAAATACTATGACGTATATACTGACTCAACAATCAAGGGCTATCGCTATAGTTACTTGTCTTCAACTAGGCGTGCGGTGTGGGAGAAGCTCCTTATTCCTCTCCATGTCCAAATCTGGTATACATCAGAGTCCCAGGGGATTCTGACACAGGACTCAAAAAGAAACCGAGATGTACTTTAGGAGGAGAATTCCAGACCGCACAGGTACAGGACCCCGACACACACGTGCCAATCCGCTGGTCTCTGTGTACTTTTTTGCACAGACCTCGCAAGAAAACACGGATCTAGATTTTGCGACAAGTGAGGATCCAGTAACTTCTCCACCCACATGCAAAGGAGTGCCCAAAGAAACTACAATTTGCTAACACCCTGTTCAGTCTGAGATGGATCCAAGTAAGATTGGGGGGCAGGAACTTCCCCACTTTCTGTTGTAATGAAATTCAAACGTGTCTCTGCCCGTGTTGCCGGCCCCGGGCATTTGGGAGCTACCAGGACTTGGGGAGTAGGAAATTCACATAACACAGGTAAGAGAGGTCTGGTCTACCTCAGACTCCACGTGAAAGGTAGAGCCCGAGTCCCGGCTGGAGAGGGGCACCCAGAAGTCTCTGGCAGGGGCTGGGAACTATGACTGAGCAAAACCTGAGCACCACTCAGCTTGTAGAGGAACACCTCTCCCTTCTGCTCACACTCTGCCCACCCAGCCTGGTCTGGCCCCACCACTGGGATGATATGGGAGATGGAGGATAGAAGGATAAAGAGGTGAGGTCCAGCGGAAAGAGCCCCAGGTGTGTCCGGCTGGAGGCATTACCTACACACGAGGCTAAGTTAGTGCCACCAAAGAACCGACCTGGGACATCTAGGTTGAAGGTGACCTTCTGGCCCCCGGCCTCGCAGCTGTACTCCCCGCTGTCCCCCTTCGCCGCCTGCTGCAGCACCAGCCGCCGGGTGCAGCCCGTGGCCTCCACGCGCACTTTCGAGCTCCCGCTCAGCTTCTTGCCATCCTTGTACCACGTCACCTGCGTCTGAGCCTGGGCCACCTCGCAGCTCAGCGTGGCACTGGCCCCGGCCGTGGCCTTCACCTCGCTGTGTGCCGACTGCTCCTTGGCAAACACCACCGTGGGCTCTGGGGACAGGGAGGGACGCACAGGGTCAAAGATATTTTCTCAACCAGGAGGACAGCACGGGGGACGGAAGGACTCAGCTGGGAGGTGGCAGGACGGGAAAATTCTCAAGGCTCTGTGTGACCCGCAGAAGCCCCAGCACCTTCTCAGCACAAGTAGCTCATTCATCTGCACATGGACCACTGCCCAGGGAGCGGTCCCCGCTGGAGACACCGTGAAGGACTTCTCCGGAGCACACACACACCCTCGAGCACAGGGACTGCAGACCATGAGGTGTGCACACACCCTCCCAAGGACACCAAGTCTTTCCCGGTTGTGCAGGGAGCATTCCCACCCAGCGAGGGACAGTTCCTGGGCTCCACCTCCCACCCGCACTCCCTGTGTCACCTGCTGGCCACCTAGGGCACTGAGCTGTGCCTCCTGAGCCTGTCTCTCCCATGGTTTGGATGACTCCCAAAGTGGTGGACCTTTGCTATGCTTTCGGTCTTTACTGTTTGCTCTTCTGCGGTGTGTCTGTTCATGGGCATTTTGGACACCATAATATTTCTCCCCACTCCCACCAAGTCCAATAATTTATCTTTTGCGTTAGGCATATTATCGGAATTCCACTTCCGTTTTTTCACACTTTTGCATGTTTCACTTTATTTCCTGCTTTCCTGCTGACAAAAGCGGTGACTGTGAGCCCCGTTGCCTGGTCCCTGATCTCACAGGCACAGCTTTCAAGTGTCACTTAGTGTGGTTAGCTGGATTTCCTTCAGTGTCATTTATCAGAAGAAGGATGAACCGTTTTATTTCTAATTGGTTCAGAATCTGCGGCATGGAGAGATGTTGATAAACTGTTTCTTCCACATTTCTGACATTAAATGTTATCAAACTCAACTCTGCATTGATGAGGCGATCCCTTCATATTTTAGTTTCAGTCTGCTCACGTCATGAGGTATGTTGATTTGCTGAACTCTGTAGTGCTCACACACCCGGGCCGTGTCTTTCACTATAGTGCACCGTCCTCTTAATACACTGCCGATTCATTTTGATTCTACTAAACTTCAGATTTTGGGCTTGGGCTCCACAATGCATTGGCCCACTATTTCAACTCTCCCTATCAGATGGTGGTGATAGGTGCCATGCTGTTGCCGCATAATAAACCAGAGACTGTGTGTCCTTCTCTAGCTCTAGAAGGATCTCCATGCACATGCAATACTTTCCTTACGGAATAGTTCATACAATTTTCCAGTGGAGCCAAGGGGGTGTCTCTTCACATATAAGATCTTTTTTTTCCTTCTTTTTCCCACTGTGGTTCCATTTATTGAAACGGTTGTAGGACTACTTGAGCTGTCAAGATCGTCTGCCACTGTTCACATAGTTTTCTAATAATCTGGTCAATTTCTGAAACCTTTTCATATTTACTCCTACAAAATAATTTGTCATATTCTCCTAAACTAGCAATTACAAGTGTTTGGTGGATTTTTTTTTTTTTGTATCGATACACACCCACAAGCTGTTGTACACACTTACAACACCAAACTGTTAGTTAGAGGCACCTGGATGTCGAATTGAGGTTAAAACTCTCCTAACTAAATGAAAATACAGTTAGTTCACAGACATCTCTGTGAACACCATGGACAGGGACAAATACACATGTGTCCTTAGGAAATACTATGACGTATATACTGACTCAACAATCAAGGGCTATCGCTATAGTTACTTGTCTTCAACTAGGCGTGCGGTGTGGGAGAAGCTCCTTATTCCTCTCCATGTCCAAATCTGGTATACATCAGAGTCCCAGGGGATTCTGACACAGGACTCAAAAAGAAACCGAGATGTACTTTAGGAGGAGAATTCCAGACCGCACAGGTACAGGACCCCGACACACACGTGCCAATCCGCTGGTCTCTGTGTACTTTTTTGCACAGACCTTGCAAGAAAACACGGATCTAGATTTTGCGACAAGTGAGGATCCAGTAACTTCTCCACCCACATGCAAAGGAGTGCCCAAAGAAACTACAATTTGCTAACACCCTGTTCAGTCTGAGATGGATCCAAGTAAGATTGGGGGGCAGGAACTTCCCCACTTTCTGTTGTAATGAAATTCAAACGTGTCTCTGCCCGTGTTGCCGGCCCCGGGCATTTGGGAGCTACCAGGACTTGGGGAGTAGGAAATTCACATAACACAGGTAAGAGAGGTCTGGTCTACCTCAGACTCCACGTGAAAGGTAGAGCCCGAGTCCCGGCTGGAGAGGGGCACCCAGAAGTCTCTGGCAGGGGCTGGGAACTATGACTGAGCAAAACCTGAGCACCACTCAGCTTGTACAGGAACACCTCTCCCTTCTGCTCACACTCTGCCCACCCAGCCTGGTCTGGCCCCACCACTGGGATGATATGGGAGATGGAGGATAGAAGGCTAAAGAGGTGAGGTCCAGCGGAAAGAGCCCCAGGTGTGTCCGGCTGGAGGCATTACCTACACACAAGGCTAAGTTAGTGCCACCAAAGAACCGACCTGGGACATCTAGGTTGAAGGTGACCTTCTGGCCCCCGGCCTCGCAGCTGTACTCCCCGCTGTCCCCCTTCGCCGCCTGCTGCAGCACCAGCCGCCGGGTGCAGCCCGTGGCCTCCACGCGCACTTTCGAGCTCCCGCTCAGCTTCTTGCCATCCTTGTACCACGTCACCTGCGTCTGAGCCTGGGCCACCTCGCAGCTCAGCGTGGCACTGGCCCCGGCCGTGGCCTTCACCTCGCTGTGTGCCGACTGCTCCTTGGCAAACACCACCGTGGGCTCTGGGGACAGGGAGGGACGCACAGGGTCAAAGATATTTTCTCAACCAGGAGGACAGCACTGGGGACGGAAGGACTCAGCTGGGAGGTGGCAGGACGGGAAAATTCTCAAGGCTCTGTGTGACCCGCAGAAGCCCCAGCACCTTCTCAGCACAAGTAGCTCATTCATCTGCACATGGACCACTGCCCAGGGAGCGGTCCCCGCTGGAGACACCGTGAAGGACTTCTCCGGAGCACACACACACCCTCGAGCACAGGGACTGCAGACCATGAGGTGTGCACACACCCTCCCAAGGACACCAAGTCTTTCCCGGTTGTGCAGGGAGCATTCCCACCCAGCGAGGGACAGTTCCTGGGCTCCACCTCCCACCCGCACTCCCTGTGTCACCTGCTGGCCACCTAGGGCACTGAGCTGTGCCTCCTGAGCCTGTCTCTCCCATGGTTTGGATGACTCCCAAAGTGGTGGACCTTTGCTATGCTTTCGGTCTTTACTGTTTGCTCTTCTGCGGTGTGTCTGTTCATGGGCATTTTGGACACCATAATATTTCTCCCCACTCCCACCAAGTCCAATAATTTATCTTTTGCGTTAGGCATATTATCGGAATTCCACTTCCGTTTTTTCACACTTTTGCATGTTTCACTTTATTTCCTGCTTTCCTGCTGACAAAAGCGGTGACTGTGAGCCCCGTTGCCTGGTCCCTGATCTCACAGGCACAGCTTTCAAGTGTCACTTAGTGTGGTTAGCTGGATTTCCTTCAGTGTCATTTATCAGAAGAAGGATGAACCGTTTTATTTCTAATTGGTTCAGAATCTGCGGCATGGAGAGATGTTGATAAACTGTTTCTTCCACATTTCTGACGTTAAATGTTATCAAACTCAACTCTGCATTGATGAGGCGATCCCTTCACATTTTAGTTTCAGTCTGCTCACGTCATGAGGTATGTTGATTTGCTGAACTCTGTAGTGCTCACACACCCGGGCCGTGTCTTTCACTATAGTGCACCGTCCTCTTAATACACTGCCGATTCATTTTGATTCTACTAAACTTCAGATTTTGGGCTTGGGCTCCACAATGCATTGGCCCACTATTTCAACTCTCCCTATCAGATGGTGGTGATAGGTGCCATGCTGTTGCCGCATAATAAACCAGAGACTGTGTGTCCTTCTCTAGCTCTAGAAGGATCTCCATGCACATGCAATACTTTCCTTACGGAATAGTTCATACAATTTTCCAGTGGAGCCAAGGGGGTGTCTCTTCACATATAAGATCTTTTTCTTCCTTCTTTTTCCCACTGTGGTTCCATTTATTGAAACGGTTGTAGGACTACTTGAGCTGTCAAGATCGTCTGCCACTGTTCACATAGTTTTCTAATAATCTGGTCAATTTCTGAAACCTTTTCATATTTACTCCTACAAAATAATTTGTCATATTCTCCTAAACTAGCAATTACAAGTGTTTGGTGGATTTTTTTTTTTTTGTATCGATACACACCCACAAGCTGTTGTACACACTTACAACACCAAACTGTTAGTTAGAGGCACCTGGATGTCGAATTAAGGTTAAAACTCTCCTAACTAAATGAAAATACAGTTAGTTCACAGACATCTCTGTGAACACCATGGACAGGGACAAATACACATGTGTCCTTAGGAAATACTATGACGTATATACTGACTCAACAATCAAGGGCTATCGCTATAGTTACTTGTCTTCAACTAGGCGTGCGGTGTGGGAGAAGCTCCTTATTCCTCTCCATGTCCAAATCTGGTATACATCAGAGTCCCAGGGGATTCTGACACAGGACTCAAAAAGAAACCGAGATGTACTTTAGGAGGAGAATTCCAGACCGCACAGGTACAGGACCCCGACACACACGTGCCAATCCGCTGGTCTCTGTGTACTTTTTTGCACAGACCTTGCAAGAAAACACGGATCTAGATTTTGCGACAAGTGAGGATCCAGTAACTTCTCCACCCACATGCAAAGGAGTGCCCAAAGAAACTACAATTTGCTAACACCCTGTTCAGTCTGAGATGGATCCAAGTAAGATTGGGGGGCAGGAACTTCCCCACTTTCTGTTGTAATGAAATTCAAACGTGTCTCTGCCCGTGTTGCCGGCCCCGGGCATTTGGGAGCTACCAGGACTTGGGGAGTAGGAAATTCACATAACACAGGTAAGAGAGGTCTGGTCTACCTCAGACTCCACGTGAAAGGTAGAGCCCGAGTCCCGGCTGGAGAGGGGCACCCAGAAGTCTCTGGCAGGGGCTGGGAACTATGACTGAGCAAAACCTGAGCACCACTCAGCTTGTACAGGAACACCTCTCCCTTCTGCTCACACTCTGCCCACCCAGCCTGGTCTGGCCCCACCACTGGGATGATATGGGAGATGGAGGATAGAAGGCTAAAGAGGTGAGGTCCAGCGGAAAGAGCCCCAGGTGTGTCCGGCTGGAGGCATTACCTACACACAAGGCTAAGTTAGTGCCACCAAAGAACCGACCTGGGACATCTAGGTTGAAGGTGACCTTCTGGCCCCCGGCCTCGCAGCTGTACTCCCCGCTGTCCCCCTTCGCCGCCTGCTGCAGCACCAGCCGCCGGGTGCAGCCCGTGGCCTCCACGCGCACTTTCGAGCTCCCGCTCAGCTTCTTGCCATCCTTGTACCACGTCACCTGCGTCTGAGCCTGGGCCACCTCGCAGCTCAGCGTGGCACTGGCCCCGGCCGTGGCCTTCACCTCGCTGTGTGCCGACTGCTCCTTGGCAAACACCACCGTGGGCTCTGGGGACAGGGAGGGACGCACAGGGTCAAAGATATTTTCTCAACCAGGAGGACAGCACTGGGGACGGAAGGACTCAGCTGGGAGGTGGCAGGACGGGAAAATTCTCAAGGCTCTGTGTGACCCGCAGAAGCCCCAGCACCTTCTCAGCACAAGTAGCTCATTCATCTGCACATGGACCACTGCCCAGGGAGCGGTCCCCGCTGGAGACACCGTGAAGGACTTCTCCGGAGCACACACACACCCTCGAGCACAGGGACTGCAGACCATGAGGTGTGCACACACCCTCCCAAGGACACCAAGTCTTTCCCGGTTGTGCAGGGAGCATTCCCACCCAGCGAGGGACAGTTCCTGGGCTCCACCTCCCACCCGCACTCCCTGTGTCACCTGCTGGCCACCTAGGGCACTGAGCTGTGCCTCCTGAGCCTGTCTCTCCCATGGCTTGGATGACTCCCAAAGTGGTGGACCTTTGCTATGCTTTCGGTCTTTACTGTTTGCTCTTCTGCGGTGTGTCTGTTCATGGGCATTTTGGACACCATAATATTTCTCCCCACTCCCACCAAGTCCAATAATTTATCTTTTGCGTTAGGCATATTATCGGAATTCCACTTCCGTTTTTTCACACTTTTGCATGTTTCACTTTATTTCCTGCTTTCCTGCTGACAAAAGCGGTGACTGTGAGCCCCGTTGCCTGGTCCCTGATCTCACAGGCACAGCTTTCAAGTGTCACTTAGTGTGGTTAGCTGGATTTCCTTCAGTGTCATTTATCAGAAGAAGGATGAACCGTTTTATTTCTAATTGGTTCAGAATCTGCGGCATGGAGAGATGTTGATAAACTGTTTCTTCCACATTTCTGACGTTAAATGTTATCAAACTCAACTCTGCATTGATGAGGCGATCCCTTCACTATTTTAGTTTCAGTCTGCTCACGTCATGAGGTATGTTGATTTGCTGAACTCTGTAGTGCTCACACACCCGGGCCGTGTCGTTCACTATAGTGCACCGTCCTCTTAATACACTGCCGATTCATTTTGATTCTACTAAACTTCAGATTTTGGGCTTGGGCTCCACAATGCATTGGCCCACTATTTCAACTCTCCCTATCAGATGGTGGTGATAGGTGCCATGCTGTTGCCGCATAATAAACCAGAGACTGTGTGTCCTTCTCTAGCTCTAGAAGGATCTCCATGCACATGCAATACTTTCCTTACGGAATAGTTCATACAATTTTCCAGTGGAGCCAAGGGGGTGTCTCTTCACATATAAGATCTTTTTTTTCCTTCTTTTTCCCACTGTGGTTCCATTTATTGAAACGGTTGTAGGACTACTTGAGCTGTCAAGATCGTCTGCCACTGTTCACATAGTTTTCTAATAATCTGGTCAATTTCTGAAACCTTTTCATATTTACTCCTACAAAATAATTTGTCATATTCTCCTAAACTAGCAATTACAAGTGTTTGGTGGATTTTTTTTTTTTTGTATCGATACACACCCACAAGCTGTTGTACACACTTACAACACCAAACTGTTAGTTAGAGGCACCTGGATGTCGAATTAAGGTTAAAACTCTCCTAACTAAATGAAAATACAGTTAGTTCACAGACATCTCTGTGAACACCATGGACAGGGACAAATACACATGTGTCCTTAGGAAATACTATGACGTATATACTGACTCAACAATCAAGGGCTATCGCTATAGTTACTTGTCTTCAACTAGGCGTGCGGTGTGGGAGAAGCTCCTTATTCCTCTCCATGTCCAAATCTGGTATACATCAGAGTCCCAGGGCATTCTGACACAGGACTCAAAAAGAAACCGAGATGTACTTTAGGAGGAGAATTCCAGACCGCACAGGTACAGGACCCCGACACACACGTGCCAATCCGCTGGTCTCTGTGTACTTTTTTGCACAGACCTTGCAAGAAAACACGGATCTAGATTTTGCGACAAGTGAGGATCCAGTAACTTCTCCACCCACATGCAAAGGAGTGCCCAAAGAAACTACAATTTGCTAACACCCTGTTCAGTCTGAGATGGATCCAAGTAAGATTGGGGGGCAGGAACTTCCCCACTTTCTGTTGTAATGAAATTCAAACGTGTCTCTGCCCGTGTTGCCGGCCCCGGGCATTTGGGAGCTACCAGGACTTGGGGAGTAGGAAATTCACATAACACAGGTAAGAGAGGTCTGGTCTACCTCAGACTCCACGTGAAAGGTAGAGCCCGAGTCCCGGCTGGAGAGGGGTACCCAGAAGTCTCTGGCAGGGGCTGGGAACTATGACTGAGCAAAACCTGAGCACCACTCAGCTTGTACAGGAACACCTCTCCCTTCTGCTCACACTCTGCCCACCCAGCCTGGTCTGGCCCCACCACTGGGATGATATGGGAGATGGAGGATAGAAGGCTAAAGAGGTGAGGTCCAGCGGAAAGAGCCCCAGGTGTGTCCGGCTGGAGGCATTACCTACACACGAGGCTAAGTTAGTGCCACCAAAGAACCGACCTGGGACATCTAGGTTGAAGGTGACCTTCTGGCCCCCGGCCTCGCAGCTGTACTCCCCGCTGTCCCCCTTCGCCGCCTGCTGCAGCACCAGCCGCCGGGTGCAGCCCGTGGCCTCCACGCGCACTTTCGAGCTCCCGCTCAGCTTCTTGCCATCCTTGTACCACGTCACCTGCGTCTGAGCCTGGGCCACCTCGCAGCTCAGCGTGGCACTGGCCCCGGCCGTGGCCTTCACCTCGCTGTGTGCCGACTGCTCCTTGGCAAACACCACCGTGGGCTCTGGGGACAGGGAGGGACGCACAGGGTCAAAGATATTTTCTCAACCAGGAGGACAGCACTGGGGACGGAAGGACTCAGCTGGGAGGTGGCAGGACGGGAAAATTCTCAAGGCTCTGTGTGACCCGCAGAAGCCCCAGCACCTTCTCAGCACAAGTAGCTCATTCATCTGCACATGGACCACTGCCCAGGGAGCGGTCCCCGCTGGAGACACCGTGAAGGACTTCTCCGGAGCACACACACACCCTCGAGCACAGGGACTGCAGACCATGAGGTGTGCACACACCCTCCCAAGGACACCAAGTCTTTCCCGGTTGTGCAGGGAGCATTCCCACCCAGCGAGGGACAGTTCCTGGGCTCCACCTCCCACCCGCACTCCCTGTGTCACCTGCTGGCCACCTAGGGCACTGAGCTGTGCCTCCTGAGCCTGTCTCTCCCATGGCTTGGATGACTCCCAAAGTGGTGGACCTTTGCTATGCTTTCGGTCTTTACTGTTTGCTCTTCTGCGGTGTGTCTGTTCATGGGCATTTTGGACACCATAATATTTCTCCCCACTCCCACCAAGTCCAATAATTTATCTTTTGCGTTAGGCATATTATCGGAATTCCACTTCCGTTTTTTCACACTTTTGCATGTTTCACTTTATTTCCTGCTTTCCTGCTGACAAAAGCGGTGACTGTGAGCCCCGTTGCCTGGTCCCTGATCTCACAGGCACAGCTTTCAAGTGTCACTTAGTGTGGTTAGCTGGATTTCCTTCAGTGTCATTTATCAGAAGAAGGATGAACCGTTTTATTTCTAATTGGTTCAGAATCTGCGGCATGGAGAGATGTTGATAAACTGTTTCTTCCACATTTCTGACGTTAAATGTTATCAAACTCAACTCTGCATTGATGAGGCGATCCCTTCATATTTTAGTTTCAGTCTGCTCACGTCATGAGGTATGTTGATTTGCTGAACTCTGTAGTGCTCACACACCCGGGCCGTGTCGTTCACTATAGTGCACCGTCCTCTTAATACACTGCCGATTCATTTTGATTCTACTAAACTTCAGATTTTGGGCTTGGGCTCCACAATGCATTGGCCCACTATTTCAACTCTCCCTATCAGATGGTGGTGATAGGTGCCATGCTGTTGCCGCATAATAAACCAGAGACTGTGTGTCCTTCTCTAGCTCTAGAAGGATCTCCATGCACATGCAATACTTTCCTTACGGAATAGTTCATACAATTTTCCAGTGGAGCCAAGGGGGTGTCTCTTCACATATAAGATCGTTTTCTTCCTTCTTTTTCCCACTGTGGTTCCATTTATTGAAACGGTTGTAGGACTACTTGAGCTGTCAAGATCGTCTGCCACTGTTCACATAGTTTTCTAATAATCTGGTCAATTTCTGAAACCTTTTCATATTTACTCCTACAAAATAATTTGTCATATTCTCCTAAACTAGCAATTACAAGTGTTTGGTGGATTTTTTTTTTTTTTGTATCGATACACACCCACAAGCTGTTGTACACACTTATAACACCAAACTGTTTGTTAGAGGCACCTGGATGTCGAATTGAGGTTAAAACTCTCCTAACTAAATGAAAATACAGTTAGTTCACAGACATCTCTGTGAACACCATGGACAGGGACAAATACACATGTGTCCTTAGGAAATACTATGACGTATATACTGACTCAACAATCAAGGGCTATCGCTATAGTTACTTGTCTTCAACTAGGCGTGCGGTGTGGGAGAAGCTCCTTATTCCTCTCCATGTCCAAATCTGGTATACATCAGAGTCCCAGGGCATTCTGACACAGGACTCAAAAAGAAACCGAGATGTACTTTAGGAGGAGAATTCCAGACCGCACAGGTACAGGACCCCGACACACACGTGCCAATCCGCTGGTCTCTGTGTACTTTTTTGCACAGACCTTGCAAGAAAACACGGATCTAGATTTTGCGACAAGTGAGGATCCAGTAACTTCTCCACCCACATGCAAAGGAGTGCCCAAAGAAACTACAATTTGCTAACACCCTGTTCAGTCTGAGATGGATCCAAGTAAGATTGGGGGGCAGGAACTTCCCCACTTTCTGTTGTAATGAAATTCAAACGTGTCTCTGCCCGTGTTGCCGGCCCCGGGCATTTGGGAGCTACCAGGACTTGGGGAGTAGGAAATTCACATAACACAGGTAAGAGAGGTCTGGTCTACCTCAGACTCCACGTGAAAGGTAGAGCCCGAGTCCCGGCTGGAGAGGGGCACCCAGAAGTCTCTGGCAGGGGCTGGGAACTATGACTGAGCAAAACCTGAGCACCACTCAGCTTGTAGAGGAACACCTCTCCCTTCTGCTCACACTCTGCCCACCCAGCCTGGTCTGGCCCCACCACTGGGATGATATGGGAGATGGAGGATAGAAGGCTAAAGAGGTGAGGTCCAGCGGAAAGAGCCCCAGGTGTGTCCGGCTGGAGGCATTACCTACACACAAGTCTAAGTTAGTGCCACCAAAGAACCGACCTGGGACATCTAGGTTGAAGGTGACCTTCTGGCCCCCGGCCTCGCAGCTGTACTCCCCGCTGTCCCCCTTCACCGCCTGCTGCAGCACCAGCCGCCGGGTGCAGCCCATGGCCTCCACGCGCACTTTCGAGCTCCCGCTCAGCTTCTTGCCATCCTTGTACCACGTCACCTGCGTCTGAGCCTGGGCCACCTCGCAGCTCAGCGTGGCACTGGCCCCGGCCGTTGCCTTCACCTCGCTGTGTGCCGACTGCTCCTTGGCAAACACCACCGTGGGCTCTGGGGACAATGACAGACACACAGGGTCAGAGACACAAAACTCATAGAAAAGTATGTCACGTTCACCACAGCTTCAGAGATGAGTAAAATTTCTCCTTGCACTTTGTGCCTTGTTGAGTATTAGTCCCTGATGGGAGTCAGCATTGTGTTTACAAACATGTCTCCTTTAATGGAATCTCAAGTGTGCATTACAGAGCGTATTGACTTAGAGAAATTTCTGAGACCTGAGGAAGTCAGTCAACACTATTCTGCCACCTGTCCCTGCATGTTCATTGTCTTTCCTATGTGACAGTCAACTCTTGTGTGCAACCTTTTGTCTGTGTCCATGGGCCATGCATATATGCATATAAGGTCCTCAGTTGATTACTTCCCTCCCACCAACCCTCACCCTTCTTCCCTCAGAGATTCCCCACTCTGTTAGATGCTTCCACTTCTCTTGATACATTCCATTCATCAGTTTATTTTGTTAATTAGATTCCACGCATGAGTAAGATCATGTGATATGTGTCTTCCTCTGATTGACTTATTTCACTTAGCATGATACTCTCCTGGTCCCTCCATGCTGTCTCAAAGGGTAAGAGATTCTTCTTTTTTACTGCTGCATAGTATTTTCTGGTATAAATATACCACAGCATTTTTATCCAGTCATCTACTGATATGCTCTTGGGCTGTTTCTAAATCTTAGCTATTGTAAATTGTGCTGCTATAATCATAGATGTGCATACAGTCTTTCTGATGGGTGTTTTGGGTTTCCTAGGATATACTAGAGGGCCAGTGCTTGAAATTCGTGCATGGGGGGGCAGGTCCTCTCAGCCCAGCCTGCACCCTTTCCAATCCTGGACCCCTTGAGTGATGTCCATCTGCTGGTTTCGGCCCAATCAACTGGTATTTGGACATCCCTTTCACAATCCAGGACCACTGGCTCATAACTGCTCACCTGCCTGCCTGCCTGATCACCCCTAACTGCCCCTCCTGTGGCCGGGTCATCCCCAACTTCCCCTCCCCCACCAGCTGGTCAACCCCAAATGCCCCCCCCTCCCGGCCTGGTTGCCCCTAACCACCCCCTCCCCACCAGCCTGGTCTCCCCTTACTGGCCCCCCTGCTGGCCTAGTTGCCCCCAACTTCCCCCCCTGCTGCCTGGTCACCCCCTGCAGCCTGCTGTTCAATTTTTTGGTTGTCCCTCACTAACCCCCCTGCCAGACTTGTCGCCCCATGCAGCCTGCTGTTCCTGTTTGGTAATTACTGTTACTGTGACAGCATCCCAGACAATTTGCATATTCCTCTATTATTAGTATAGATAGATGTAGGATCACTGGGTCAAATGGCAGTTTCATATTTAATTTTTTGAGGAACCTCCATACTGTTTCCCATAATGGCTACATCAGTCTGCATTACCTCCTGCAATGTACCCTTTTCCTCACATCCTCGCCAGCACTTGTCATTTGTTGATTTGTTGATGGTAGCCATTCTCATAGGTGTGAGGTGATACTTCATTGTCATTTTAATTTGCATCTCTCTGATGATCAGTGACTGAGCATGTTTTCACAAGTCTCTTGGCCATCGGTATGTCCACTTTGGAGAAGTGTCTATTTAGGTCCTCTGCCCATTTTTTAATTGGATTGTTTGTCTCCCTTTAGTTATGTTGTATGAGTTCCTTATATATTTTGGATATTAACCCTTTATCAGATGTATCATTGCCAAATATGTTCTCCCATACAGTGGGCTCCCTTTTCATTTTGTTGATGGTTTCTTTTACTGTGCAGGAAATTTTTATTTTGATATAGTCCCATTTGTTTATTTTCTCCTTAGTTTTCTTTGCCCTAGGAGATAAATCTGTAAAAGTATTGCTACGAGAGATGTCTGAGATTTTGCTGCCTATGGTTTCTTCTGAAATTTTTATGGTTTCACAACTTAAATTTAAGTCTCTTATCCATTCTGAGTTTATTCTTGTATATGGTATAACTTGGTGGGCTAGATTCATTTTTTTGCATATATCTGTCTAATTTTCCCAACAACATTTATTGAAGAGACTCTATTGACTCCCTTGTATACTCTTGCCTCCTTTGTCAAATGTTGAGTGTAATGGCTTAGGTTGATTTCTGGGATCTCTGTTCTGTTCCATTGATCTATATGCCTGTTCTTGTGCCAGAACCAGGCTGTTTTGATTATGATGGCTTTGTAGTATAATTTCAAATATGGTATTGTGATTCCTCCAACTTTGCTTTTCTTTCTCAAGATTGCTGCAGCTATTCCGGGTGTTTTTTTATTCCATAAATATTTTTGGCGTGTTTGTTTTAGATCTGTGAAATATGCCTTTAGTATTTTAATAGGGATTGCTTTGAATCTGCAGATTGCCTTGGGTAGTTTGGACATTTTAATGATGTTGATTTTATCAATCCATAGCTGTTTAATCTTCCACTTGTTTATATCTCCTTCTATCTCTTTTTACAACACCTTGTAGTTTTCCAAGTATAGGTCTCTTGCCTCCTTGGTTAAGTATACTCCTTAGTAACTTAATTTTTGTTGTTGCAGTGGTAAATGGAATTGTTTAGTTTCTCTTTCTGAGAATTCATTATTGGTGTATAAAAAAGCCATCAATTTTTGGGTGTTGATTTTGTATCCTGCTACATTGCCAAATTCATTTATTAAATCTAGTAGTTTTTTGTTGGAGTCTTCAGGGTTGTCTATGTATAATATCATGTCATTTGTGAATAGTGAGAGCTTTACTTCCTCCTTTCAAATTTGGATGCCTTTTATTTCTTCTTGTCTGATTGTTGTGGCTAGGACTTCCAGAACTATCCTATATAATAAAAGGGTAATATGCAAATTGACCCCAACAGCAGAACACCCAGAAATAACCAGTAGCTATGACGCACACTAACCACCACGGTGGCAGACGCTCAATGCAGGAGCACCCCCTGGTGATCAGTGCGCTCCCACAGGGGGAGCTCTGCTCAGCCACAAGCCAGGCTGAGGGCTGAGAGCGCAGCGGCAGTGGTGGGAGCCGCTCCAACCTCCACAGCAGCACTAATGATGTCCAACTCTGGCTTAAGCCATCAATCAGACATCCCCTGAGGGCTCCCAGGCTGCCAGAAGGATATCTGACTGCCAGCTTAGTCCCGCTTTAGGTGGACATCTCCTGAGGGGTCACAGACTGCGAGAGGGAGCAGGCCAGGCTGAGGGATAACCCCCCACCCCGAGTGCATGAATTTTCGTGCACCGGGCCTCTAGTATTGAATAAGAGTGGTGAAAGCAGACATCCCTTTTTTGTTCCTGTTATTAGGGGATATTGTTTTAGTTTTTGTACAATGAGTATGATATCCACGTAGGTTTGTAATATATGGCCTTTATAATGTAGAGATATGCATTCTCTATTCACATTTTGCTGAGAGTTTTTATCAAAAATATGTGTTGAATTTTGTGGAATGATTTTTCTGCATCTATTGATATGATCATGTGACTTTTGTCTTTCTATTTCTTTATGTGATGTATCACATGTATTGATTTGCAAATATTGTACCAGCCTTGAATTCCTGGAATAATCCCACTTGCTCATGGTGTATGGGCCTTTTTAATATATTGCTGGATCTGATTTGCTAATATTTTGTTGAGGATTTTAGCATCTATGTTCATCAGGAATATTGGCCTGTAATTCTCTTTCTTTGTAGTGTTTTTATCTGGTTTTGGAATTAGGATAATGCTAGCCTCATAAAAAGAGCTTGTAAGTGTTCCTTCCTCTTGAATTTTTTGCAATAGTTTGAGGAGTATAGATGTTAGTTCTTTGAATGTTTGGTAAAACTTCCCTGTGAAGCCATCTAGACCTGGGCTTTTGTTTGCTGGGAGATTTTTGATTACTGCTTCTATTCCATCAGTTGTTATTGGCCTATTCAGGTTTTCTGGTTCTTTCTGATTCAATTTTGGGAGATTATATTTTTCTAGGAATTTTTCCATTTCATCCAGCTTGTTGGCATATAGCTGTTTATAATATTTCCTTACAATCCTTTGTATTTTGTGGTGTCAGTGGTTACTTCTCCACTTTTGTTTCTGATTTTATTTATTTGGATCCTCTCTCTTTGTTTCTTGATGAGTCTGGCTAATGGCTCAACAATCTTGTTTATCCTTTCAAAGAACAAGCTCTTGGTTTCACTGATTTTTTGTATTGTTTTTTTTAGTGTCTATGTCATTTATTTCTGCTCTAACTTTATTATTTCCTTCCTTTTACTTACTCTGGGATTTTCTTGTTGTTCTCTTTTTACTTCTTTAAGTTGTAGGGTTAGTTTATTGTTGATTTTTCTTATTTTTGTTGTTGTTGTTGTTGTTGTTTGTTTTTTCTTTAGGTAGGCCAAAAGTGCTATGAATTCCCTTCTCAGGACTGCTTTTGCTGTGTCCCAGAGATTTGGGGTTGTTGTGTGTTCATTTTCATTTGTTTCCAGGAAGTTTTTTATTTCTTTCTTGATCTCATTGGTAATCCATTCATTGTTTAATAACATGCTATTTAGCCTCCATGTGTTTGAATGTTTTGGGGTGTTTTTACTGTAGTTGATTTCTAATTTCATTCCACTGTGATCTGAGAAGATGCTTGATATGATTTCAATCTTCTTGAACTTGTAGAGATTTGTTTTTTGTTCTAATATGTGGTCTATCTTTGTGAATGATCCATGTGCACTTGAGAAGAATGTTTATGCTGCAGCTTTGGGGTGAATGTTCTATAAATGTCATTTAAATCCATCTGATCCAGTGTGACCCTTTAGAGTCACTATTTCCTTGTTAAGTTTTTAACTGGAAGATCTGTCCAGTGAAGTCAAGTGGTGTTAAAGTCCCCTACTATGACTGTATTGTTGTTTATTTCTCCCTCAAAGTCCTGTAGGAATTTTTCTTATGTATTTAGATGCTTCTATATTGGGTGCATATATGTTTACCAGAGTTATATGCTCTTGTTGGATCAATCCATTTAGTATTATGTAGTGACCTTTGTTGTCTCTTGTGATGGCCTTCATTTT